TTTCCAGGACCTTCAGTAGTCGTGAATTATTTAACATTTTTTCCAGGACCATCAGTCCGTTTGTGGAAATTACTCCATCTTCCGAACGAAATGAAGTAGGCTGATAAAATTTTACTCAGATGTGTTTATGGGACCATTAGCATTGGAAAGTTTTGTCGTGGACCCCATATAGCTGTGCCTCAAGATATTGGGCATTTTAATGTGTCACAATATAGATCGGAATTGTTTAAAATTAGATATTTAGTGTTCGTAATGCCTAATACCTCTCATAGCAGAAAATTTCCTGTACAGGACCACATCTTCAAATGCCCTCCAGATAACGGTAACTTCCAATATTTGGTATTTTTGTGATTTTAACTGCACTAACCGTCCTTTTTTTAAATGACCATCAGTAACGGATTTTATAAAAATGGCTCTAAGTAGTTCATCAGAACTGTAGTCTCCGATTTGAGGATTTTTCTACAATCCAAAAAGACCTTATAAACGCGGCATTTATTAATAATTTTTATGGAACTTCTAGGACTTAAAAAATATTCTTGAAGGACACCTTAGCCTTTAGGACCCCTAGAAATTTCCTTTGTCTACTAAATACTTTGTGTCTCCCCTTAAAACTTTATGCCTCCCTCCTCGTATGTAACTAAATCCTCCATGGCGTATCCTGACATCGCACAGGAGTACTACAACAATGCTTATATATGGTAAACAAATTTATTGTTTATTTACTAGTCTCCATGCCTGTTTGGGAGTCGATAGTGGTACCTGTGTGTGGCATAAACATAAGTGGGTTACAGCCCTATCTATCCAGCTATGTGCACCACATGCAACATATTTTTTTATGTTGCATGTCAATAAAATAAACCACCCATATAAAATGCAAAGAAAACGAATAATGAACTCGGTACAGAACTTCAAAAACAAACAAAAAACGGCAATCATTCACAGAAAATCGAATAAAAATATTTTTTTATATACACATGCATATCTACATATTTATATGTAAAATACATGCATATCGAAAGAACAGATTTTTTTCATTATTAGTAAACGTGTTTTTTTCTAACACGAATCGACGAACTTGACCTGCCATATTAAGACATACATTTTCAGACATATGTGTTACGCCCCCTCTCCCTCTCTTTCGTCCAAAAACCTGTTATCTGTTGAAACCGAAACGGTGTCGTATTCATCACACCTGGAATCGTCAGGCAAAACAAATAAAAATGACGACAACAATTTGTTCGCTGCAACAGCAGCGAATGACACGCACAGAGGTTGGCGTGAAAATCGTTATTTTTGCATGCAATATTCTGCCTATATTTTTATACGCAATAATGGTTTTTGTCTTCCATTATGGGGGTAATCGATGATCATCGAACAGAGGGTATTTAATTCTAATTGTTTATATACAAAAATAAGGCTGTAACAGTGGGCGGAGAAAGGTAGAAATCCAGTCTTTCTGGAGTCTATGAAATTTAAAAAAAATCAAGGATCGGAAATCACTGAATTTTGAAAAATAGTTTGCGCAAGAGCCTTTAGATATCGTGGATTTATTTTAATTTTTATTCAACGACAATCAATAGTTGTGAATTTTATTAAAATAACTTTTCAAGTACCTTCACTAGTGGTGTTTTTCAAACCAAATTTAAAGGACTACCAGTTGTCGCCGATTTTTAAAATATTTTTTTCAGGGCCATCAATTGTCGCCCATTTTTTTAAACATTTTTAAGGACAAACAGTTGTTGAAGAATTTTTCAGAAACATTTTGCCAGGACCATCGGTAGTCGTGGATTTTTTTTAAATTTTTCCCAGGACCATCAGTTGCTGTGGATTAAAAAAATGTTTTTTTAAAAAAATATATTTTAAGGACCACAAACTACCGTTAATTTTTAAAAAAATATTTTTTTAGGGACATCAGTAGCAGTAGATTTTTTAAAAATTTGTTTTCATAGACCATCAGAGGTAGTAGATTTTTTAAAATATTTTTTCATAAACCATCAGAGCTCGTGGGTATATGAAAAATATTTTTTCAAGGACTTCGAGTAGTCGTGGAATTTGAATTTTTTTTTCAAGGTTCATCTGAAGTCGTGGATTTTTTAAAAAAGAAAATTTTCAAGGACCATCTATGGTCGTGGATTTTTTAAAAAAGAAAATTTTCAAGGACCATCTAAGGTCGTGTCTTTTTTAAAAAAGAAAATTTTCAAGGACCATCTAAGGTCGTGGATTTTTAAAAAAAATGTCAAGGACCATCTGAAATCGTGGATTTTTTAATATTTAAGCAGTAGATTTTTTAAAAATTCGTTTTCATAGACCATCAGAGGTAGTAGATTTTTTAAAATATTTTTTCATAGACCATCAGAGCTCGTGGGTATATTAAAAATATTTGTTCATAGACCATCAGAGCTCGTCGTTAAAAAAAATGTCAAGGACCATCTGAAATCGTGGATTTTTTAGAACAAAGTTTCAAGGGCCATCAAAGGTTGTGGATTTCTTAATTTTTTTTTTTCAAGGACCATCTGAAGTCGTGGATTTAAAAAAAAGTCAAGAACCACCTGAAGTTCTGAGTTTTTTAATAATATTTTTTTAAGGACCATCTAAGGTTATGGATTTTAAAAAATTATTTTTCATAGACCACCAGAAATCGTGGATTTTTTAAAAATACTTTTTCATGGACCACCAGAAGTCGTGGATTTTTTTAAAATATTTTTTCATGGACAATTAGAAGTCTTGGATTTTTTAAAAATATTTTTTCATGGACAATTAAAAGTCGTGGATTTTTTAAAAATATTCTTTTATGGACAATTAGAAGTCGTGGATTTTTAAAAATATTTTTTATGGACAATTAGAAGTCGTGGATTTTTAAAAATATTTTGTTTGTGGACAATTAGAAGTCGTGGATTTTTAAAAATATTTTTTATGGACAATTAGAAGTCTTGGATTTTTTGAAGGATTATGGGTAGTCGTTTTAAGAGTATTTTTTGGAAGACTATCAATAATCGCGAATCTTTTAAGAATATTTTTGAAGGACTGTTGGTAGTCGTGGTTCTGAAGGACTATCAGTAATCGCGATTTTTTTAAGAATATTTTTTGAAGGACTATCGGTTGTCGTGGATTTGAAGAATAAGAATATTTTTTGAAGGACTATCAGTAATCGCGTATTTTTTAAGAATATTTGTTGAAGGACTATCGGTAGTCGTGGATTTGAAGGACTATCGGTAGTCGTGGATATTTTAAGAATATTTCTTGAAGGACTATCGGTAGTCGTTGATATTTTTAAAAATATTTTTGAAGGACTATCAGTAGTCGTGGATTTTTTTAAGAATATTTTTTGAAGGACTATCGGTAGTCGTGGGTTTTTTTAAGAATATCTTTTAGAGACTATCGGTAGTCGTGGATTTTTTAAGAATATTTTTTGAAGGACTATCGGTATTTCTGCATTTTTAAGAATATTTTTTGAAGGACTATCGGTAGTCGTGACTTTTTTTAAGAATATTTTTTGAAGGACTATCGGTAGTCGTTGATATTTTTAAAAATATTTTTGAAGGACTATCGGTAGTCGTGGATTTTTTTAAGAATATTTTTTGAAGGACTATCGGTAATCGTGGATTTTTTAAGAATATTGTTTGAAGGACTATCGGTAGTCGCGGATTTTTTAAGAATATTTTTTTGAAGGTCTATCCGTAATCGTGGATTTTTTAAGAATGTTTTTTAAAGGACAATCGGTAATCGTGGATTTTTTAAGAATGTTTTTTTGAAGGACTATCGTTAGTCAACGATTTTTTAATAATATTTTTAAAGGACTATCGTTAGTCGTGGATTTTTCAAGAATATTTTTTGAAGGGCTATCGGTAGTCGTGGATTTTTTAAGAATAATTTTTGGAAGGACTATCGGTAGTCATGGATATTTTTAAGAATATTTTTTGAAGGACTATCGGTAGTCGTGGATTTTTCAAGAATATTTTTTGAAGAACTATCGGTAGTCGTGTATTTTTTAAGAATGTTTTTTGAAGGACTTTCGGTAGTCGTAGGTTTTTTTAAAAATATTTTTGGAGGTCTATCGGTAGTCGTTGATTTTTTTTATATATTTTTCCAGGACCATTAGTTGTCGTGGATTTTCAAACAATAAAGGGCCATCAGCAGACTTGGACTTTTCATAGATCATCGATAGTCCTGGAATTTTTTAATATTTTTAAAGGACCTTTAGAGGTCGTGGATTTTTTTTTAATATATTTTAAGACCTTTAGAGGTCGTGGATTATTTTAAAATTATTTTTGCAAGAACCATAATTTTGAAAAATAGTTTTTTAAGGACCATCAAAATTTAAACGAATTTTTCAAGAAATTATAAATGCTTTTTTTTTCGATTCATCATTTGAGGGTATCCTTCCCCAACCAAGAATTCATTCCAAAAATATCATAGAAAAAAATTCCATTAATATGTTTTTTTGTGTGTTTTCCATTCCAACATGGATGTATAATTGAAGACTCCTTCTAATGGCATGGCTATGAATCATTGACAGCTTAAATTTGGCCTCAGTTCAAAAATTCATTTGAACTTTTTGTCGATTTTCTTTTGTTGTTATTCCTCTTTCTTCACTCTTCAATCGTGTATTGTGGGTGAGCTGTGTTGTGTTGGAGTTTCGTGACAAAGTTTTTTATTGCAAAATTATTGAATTTCAAAAAAAATATTACCTCGATGTCAATGATTTGCAAATACTTGTGAATAAATTTTCCAACATGAAAGTGAAAACAATAAGGAAAATATTAAAAGAAAATTTGATGGAAAACTTCTCCCCCTGAAAAGGAGTTGAAAAGAATATAAAAACTAATTTTTGCGTATTAAAAAGGAAATATGAGCTAAATTTGGCGCAACACGCAGCTGTGATAAAGGAAAGGAAAAATTTGAATAAATCTTAAAATAATGGTAAGTATGAAAGGCGCGGAGGGTGACAATGGCAACAAGTTGTTATAAATGTTCCTTTCTTCTGTCAAACCCAAACACAGTCTGGTGAATGTCCTCATGCTGCCATATTGGATGCTGCCTTACAGCACAGCCATCATCATGATGCTGGAGGCGGGGGAGGAGCAGAAGGTACCAGTGGTGGTGGTATATGCCATTTGGATACCCATGAAAAATACCAGAGAATTATTGATGAATTGAAAAACGAATTGGAACAAATGTCCTGCGAAGTGACTCAGGTGAAGAGGGAGTGCTGTAGCAAGGCAAAGACTGCATGTTCGGAGGATGTTGCGTTGAACTTAACCGAGTCACTGAAACAGCTGGAACTACAAAACGATCGCCTGCAAGAGGCGTTGAAACAACAATCAGAAGCCAAGGATGCTGTCGCCTCGGAATTAGAAACACAAGTGGGTGATATGAATTGTTTGCCAACAAAAAATAACTAATTTTTAAAATAAAATAAATGCAATTGCATATTCCAGGTGCCTCAGGTCAATAATTGTGTTTTTCAAAAATATTATATTTTTTCAGGGACCATCAGATCTACAATTGCTAAGTTAATTGTATAGTTCAGGGAAAATTAGGGCAACAATCGCGGATTCATTTAAGATATTATAAGGACTATCAGAGAAATAACCGGGGACTTTTTTAAAATAAATTTTTACCATCATCGGGTTTTTTAAAATATTTTTCAAAGGCCTTCAGAAGTTATGGAATTTTGGAATTTTTTTTTCTATGACTATCTGATTTTTTTAAATATTTTGTCGAGGATTTTCTGTAGACGTGGATTATTTGGATATACTTTTTTAAGGCGCATATGAAGTCGTAGATTTTTTTAAAAAATATTTTTAAAGGACCACCTGAAGTCGTGGATTTTTTTAAATATTTTTTCAAGGACCACCAAAAGTCGTGGATTTTTTAAAAATAGTTTTTCATGGGCCATATAGAGTCGTGGATTTTTTAAAAATATTTTTTCAAGAGCCATATAAAGTCGTGGATTTTTTAAAAATATTTTTTCAAGGACCATCTAAAGTCGTGGATTTTTTAAAAATAGTTTTTCATGAGCCATCTATAGTCGTGGATTTTTTAAAAATAGTTTTTCATGGGCCATATAGAGTCGTGGATTTTTTAAAAATATTTTTTCAAGAGCCATCCATAGTCGTGGATTTTTTAAAAATAGTTTTTCATGGGCCATATAGAGTCGTGGATTTTTTAAAAATATTTTTTCAAGAGCCATCCATAGTCGTGGATTTTTTAAAAATATTTTTTCAAGAGCCATCCATAGTCGTGGATTTTTTAAAAATATTTTTTCAAGGGTCATGTAAAGTCGTGGATTTTTTAAAAATATTTTTTCAAGGGTGATATAAAGTCGTGAATTTTTTAAAAATAGTTTTTCATGGGCCATCTATAGTCGTGGATTTTTGTGGGTCATATAAGTTCGTTAATTTTTTTAAAAATATTTTTTAATGGGTCATATAAAATCGTGGATTTTTTAAAAATAATTTTTCAAGAGCCATCTAAAGTCATGGATTTTTTTTAAATATTTTTTCAAAAGCCATCTAAAGTCATGGATTTTTTTAAAATATTTTTTCAGGGAGCATCTGAAGTCGTAGATTTTTTAAAAATATATTTTTCCTTTCATTTTTTAAAAATATTTTGTCGAGGATTTTCAGTAGACGTGGATTATTTGGAGATATTTTTCGAGTACCATATGTAGTCGTGGATTTTTTAAAAAATATTTTCTCGAGGTTTTTAGTAGACGTGGATTATTTGGAGATATTCTTTCAAGTCGCGGATTTTTTTAAAATAATTTGTCAAGAATTTTTAATAGACGTTGATTATTTGGAAAATTTTTTTAAGGATCACCTGAAGTTGCGGATTTTTCAAAAATATTTTTTTAAGGGCCATTTGAAGCCGTGGATTTTTTTAAAAATATTTTTTAAAGACCTCCATAAGTCGTGGTGAATTTTAAAATATTTTTTTTAAAGATCACCTGAAGTCAACGATTTTTGTAAAATATTTTTTAAAGACCGCCTGAAGTCGTGGATTTTTTAAAAATATCTTTTCAAGGGCTACCTAAAGTCGTGGATTTTATAAAAATATAATTTAAGGATTACCAATAGTAGAGGATTTTCTCAAAAAACCAATTTCAAAGACAATCAGTAGTTGTGGTTTTTTTTTAAATATTTTTTCAAGGATCATCAATATTTTCAATTAAATTGCAATCTGTAATAAAGAAAAATGCTCTCACTTTAATTTCAGAACAATGCTCTCAAATGCCAAATACAACACCTTAAGAAAGCGATTATGGATCGGGAACAACACATCCTACACCTGACGGCCGTTCTCAATCATCACAACTCCCAAAATCCAACGGCCTATGAATCCTGTCGTGCCAATCCCCTACCCCATGCTACCGCTAAGCAAACTCCTCCTACAGGCCCCTGCTGTAGTAATCAACAAAGAGTCACGGATTTAGAAAAACGTCTCGACACAATGTCCAAGGAGTTAGATAAGTCGCAAAGGCAGGAATATTTTCTGCATTCGGAGACGAGAAAACTCAACGAGCAACTGAATGAGAGTAAAAGGAAAAATGGTAAGGGGAGCACTTTTAGGTTTTGTTTTCAAATTTAATGTTGTTTCAAAATTTTTTCCTCCCAGCTGATTTGGCCTCACAGGCCCAACGTTTAGCCGGTTTATTGAAGTCGCAGGAAGTCCATCGCTCAGATTTGGCCAAAAAATACGATAGTCTTGAGGAGAGTTTTGAAGACCAGGCCAAGAAGCTGCGCACAGCCAATGCTCAGTTGACGGTGTTGAATGAACGGTTTCAGCTAATGGAAAGGCAGCAGCATGAACATAATTTGGAGGTATGTTGATTTTTTTACAAAAGTAATGGTTTCAATAAAATCTAAGACATGAGGTAGTCTAGAAGCCACTTCAGGTCATGTGAATCGTCGAACATTGAAAATCTTTTCCAAGAATATTCTGAAGATATGAATACATTTAAAGGCTTTAAAAGTACCTTATCCTGTGAAAGGAGGTTCTGAGAGGGAAGGAAGGAATTGGAAGAAATCCTTGAAAACAAGGCTTCTCTTTAAAAAATATTCTTTAACAAATCCACGTCATTGAAAAAATCCACATTCTTGAAAAAAATTTAAAAAATCCACATCCTTAAAAAATATTTTTTAAAAAGTCCACGGGTATAGGTCCTTGAAAGAAATTCTTTAAAAAATTCACATCCTTGAAAAAATATTTTTTAAAAAGTCTGTAGGTCCGTGAAAAAAAAATCTTTAAAAAATCCACATCCTAGAAAAAATATTTTGGTTCTGTGAAGAATTATTCTTTAAAAAATCCACGTCTTTCGGTCCTTTGAAAAATTATTCTCTAAAAAATCCACGTCTTTCGGTTCTTTTAAAAATTATTCTTTAAAAAATCCACGTCTTTCGGTCCTTTGAAAAATTATTCTTTAAAAAATGCACGTCTTTTGGTCCTTTGAAAAAATATTGTTTAAAAAATTTACGTCTGTTGGTCCTTTGAAAAAATATTCTTTAAAAAATCCACGTCTTTTGGTCCTTTGAAAAAATATTCTTTAAAAAATTTACGTCTATTGGTTCTTTAAAAAATCCATCTTTTAATCCTTTGAAAAATTATTCTTTAAAAAATCGACGTCTTTTGGTCCTTTGAAAAAATATTCTTTAAAAAATCCACATCCTTGAAAAAATATTTTTTAAAAAGTCCACGCCTGTATGTCTTTGAAAAAAAATTCTTTAAAAAATCCACATCCTTAAAAAAAATATTTTTTAAAAAGTCCACGCCTGTATGTCTTTGAAAAAAAATTCTTTTAAAAATCCACATCCTTGAAAAAATATTTTTTAAAAAATCCACGCCTGTATGTCTTTGAAAAAAATTCTTTACAAAATCCACATCCTTGAAAAAATATTTTTTAAAAAGTCCACGCCTGTATGTCTTTGAAAAAAATTCTTTAAAAAATCCACATCCTTGAAAAAATATTTTTTAAAAAGTCCACGCCTGTATGTCTTTGAAAAAAAAATTCTTTTAAAAATCCACATCCTTGAAAAAATATTTTTTAAAAAATCCACGCCTGTATGTCTTTGAAAAAAATTCTTTACAAAATCCACATCCTTGAAAAAATATTTTTTAAAAAGTCCACGCCTGTATGTCTTTGAAAAAAATTCTTTAAAAAATCCACATCCTTGAAAAAATATTTTTTAAAAAGTCCACGCCTGTATGTCCTTGAAAAAAAATTCTTTAAAAAATCCACGTCTTTTGGACCTTTGGAAAATTATTCTTTAAAAAATCCACGTCTTTTGGTCCTTTGAAAATATATTCTTTAAAAAATCCACATCCTTGAAAAAATATTTTTTAAGAAATCCACGTCTGTAAGTCCTTGAAAAAATATTCTTGAAAAAATCCACGTCTTTTGGACCTTTGAAAAATTATTCTTTAAAAAATCCACATCCTTGAAAAAATATTTTTCAAGAAATCCACGTCTGTAAGTCCTTGAAAAATTATTCTTGAAAAAATCCACGTCTTTTGGACCTTTGAAAAAATATTCTTTAAAAAATCCAAGTCTATTGGTCTATAATAATAATATATTTTCAAAAAAAAGTACCCTCCTGTTGGTCCTTGAAATAAAAATTCATTAAAAAATCCATGTCCTTTCGGTGCTTTATTGAATTTCTTAAAAAGTCCACGTATGTTGCTTCTTGAAATCTTATCCAGGATATTCTTCCCTTATTCTAGCGCAAGCTGCTGCACGACGAAGTGTTGGCCCTGAAGGAAAAGGAAGCCATTGTTATGGGTCGCCAAAAGAGTTTGCAGGAACAATTGGCCAAAACTGAAAAGGAGCTCTACACGGCACATAATGTTATGCGCGATCAAACGAATATAATGAAAACAAACGATCTGAAACATGCCGAGGAGTTGCAACGCCTCAAGGAGGAGCACTATGATACGAAACGAAAATTGAAAAATCTCACCGAGGACTACAAACGTCTGCAGGAGGCCTATGAGTGAGTATTGTTAGGAGGACATTCTCCCAATAAAAATCCACAACTCCATCATTGTAATAATCTCCAGTGTGACATGTTGTCCCCTTGTTGCAGAAACGAACAGGAAATATGCAAACAATCGGAGAAGTTACTTAACTCCTTTCGCAAATGGAAGGAGCAACAACTGAAGGCAGATGCCGAGAATCGAGAGAAATTCCAAAAGATGGAAACCCACATTCAGCTACTGTATCAGGACAAATTGGAGATGTTGAATGCCCAGCGTAGCATGTGGCTGGACTACAAAACATTGGAGGCGGAATTGGAGCGTCTCAGCCAGGCATCGTTTAATGTTTCAAATCCCAGGTTAGGTGTTACGGTGACAAATGAAATGGTAGGTACCACCCGAATCCTGTTATGAAATCCAGAATAATTTTTTTTTGATTTTCCCCCAAGCTTGCCGAACGCTTATCGGCCATTAAAAAGGCTCGCAGTCGTATTATAGAACAAACACTGCTGATGGAGGAGGCATTACGGGAAGAGGATAAACTCGAGGTGGCAGAAGATGAGCCGGGCCCGAGTAAGACCACAACCGCCACTGGAACAGACGATAGACAACGACAGGACTCCTCAAATCCTGGCTAAAGACACACACACACATCCCATGAATTCTGTTCTCTGATATTTTGTAAATATGTATCTATGTCTTTGTAATATTTATATTTGTTTATAGGCATTCTAGGGACCTACTATAGCCTTGTATAATTCTGTCTGTGTATCAAACCAAATCATTAGAAGAGTTTACTTAGCTACCTACCATCTTTGCAACTACTTTCTCCGAATATATATATATTCCGATTGTGTTCCTTTTCTAGATGTTGCAAGATGTTATAGTAACAAATGTTTTTTGTTTTTGTATTTCATCATGGGTAAGTTTGAAGGATCAACAGGGCCAAAATATGTGCATTTTCAAAGGATACTTTTCCAAAAAGAACAAGAAGTTTTTAAAGAATATTTTTTCTAAAGGACCAATAGACGTGGATTTTTTAAAGAATATTTTTTCCAAAGGACCAATAGACGTGGATTTTTTAAAGAATATTTTTTCCAAAGGACCAATAGACGTGGATTTTTTAAAGAATATTTTTTCCAAAGGACCAATAGACGTGGATTTTTTAAAGAATATTTTTTTCAAAGGACCAATAGACGTGGATTTTTTAAAGTACATTTTGCCAAAGGACTAATAGACGTGTATTTTTTAAAGAATATTTTTTCCAGAGGACCAATAGACGTGGATTTTTTAAAGAATATTTTTTCCAAAGGACCAATAGACGTGGATTTTTTAAAGAATATTTTTTTCCAAAGGACCAATAGACGTGGATTTTTTAAAGAATATTTTTTTCCAAAGGACCAATAGACGTGGATTTTTTAAAGAATATTTTTTCCAAAGGACCAATAGACGTGGATTTTTTAAAGAATATTTTTTCCAAAGGACCAATAGACGTGGATTTTTTAAAGAATATTTTTTTCCAAAGGACCAATAGACGTGGATTTTTTAAAGAATATTTTTTCCAAAGGACCAATAGACGTGGATTTTTTAAAGAATATTTTTTTCCAAAGGACCAATAGACGTGGATTTTTTAAAGAATATTTTTTCCAAAGGACCAATAGACGTGGATTTTTTAAAGAATATTTTTTCCAAAGGATTAATGGACTTGGATTTTTTAAAGAATATTTTTCCTAGGGACCAATAGACGTGGATTTTTTTAAAGAATATTTGTTTTCAAAGAATATTTTTCCTAGGGACCAATAGATGTGGATTTTTTAAGGAATATTTTTTCAAAGGACCAATAGTCGGGGAATGTTTAAAGAATATTTTTCAAAGGACCAATAGTCGGGGAATTTTTAAAGAATATTTTTTCAAATATTATTTTTTCAAAGGACCAATAGACATGGATTTTTTAAAGAATATTTTTTTCAAATAATATATTTTCAAAGGACCAATAGTCGTGGATTTTTTAAGGAATATTTTTTTCAAAGGACCAATAGACGTGGATTTTTTAAATAATATTTTTTCAAAGGACCAATAGACGTGGATTTTTTAAAGAATATTTTTTTCAAAGGACCAATAGACGTGGATTTTTTAATGAATATTTTTTCAAAGGACCAATAGACGTGGATTTTTTATTGAATATTTTTTCAAAGGACCAATAGACGTGGATATTTTAAAGAATATTTTTTTCCAAAGGACAGGATTTTTAAAATTCCTTCTTGCATTTATTTTTTATATTTCTGACTCCCTAACTTGTTGGGTAACATATGCTTGCAATCTTACTAAATGCTGATTATCGAATCTTTCTTTGCCACACTTATCACCTGAATTTTCCTTATTAAGCCACACAAAAAAAGCTGTAAATAAATTAATGTTTTAATTTAACGTAAAGATCATTCATTACCCGACACACACACACTATCCCACACACAATCAATTCCATAGCACACACATGGGATTATCAAACAATTGATGATGATCACCATCATCACCAACAGCCAAGACTTGTGGTCGGAGACTGCTGGCGTTCGTTTCACTCAATTATGAGAATTAATTATCGAAGCTGTTTTTGTTTTTTTTTTGAATTGTGTGTTTTTTGTAAAAATTCAATTCCATTCACCCCACGCAAAATTAAACCGCTTAGTTTGTAATGCGCCCGACTTGGGGAATACGTGATATTGTTGTCATTCCCAGATGATGACATTTGTCATTTCTTCTTCATCTTCTGTGGCAGCTAGCACTTTGGCACTTATGCAACATGAGCCCCATGGCTGGCTGGCAGGCAGGGGCCGACCATCTGGAATTATGTCACCCAGTTAATTCTCTGTCTTTGGGATATTTAGTGATTACAAATGACCCGATAATTATTGTGAAAAGAGAATGGAGAAGGGGAAAGTGTTGGTCGGTCGATTGTGTGGGTCATTGTCATTAATTTCGAAAGATGAAGTTATCAATTTATAAATATATTTTTTAACAACTAGGCTAATGCAGATTCCAACTTCGAATAGGAAAATGGGTTTGGAATAAGAATCCGATATGGAAAACCTTTCAAAATTTCCAATCTCCATGAAATGAAAAACAAAAAAAAAAAACATTTCAAATAAGAAAAAGAAGAGAGATGAATTCAAACCACCATCCACTTAGACAACCTCTAAAAACCTTTGTCGAACATGTTATGACACCAACATGTCACCCTGAAATTTCCAAGAAAATCACAACGGCATTGACACAAACATCATCAAACAAAAATGAAAAATTGGCAGCTTTTGCCATTTGAAATGTTTGTCAAATAGAAATTTTGTGGCACATTGTCGTCATCGCCATTGTCCAGAGAGGAAAATAACCTGACAACAGAGAAACAAAAAAAAAAAAAAGAAAACATCCTCTAAAACGCAAAAAACAAAACATAATTCGCAAACATGTTTTTACCCCCGACTACCGCGGCATCCTCATGGCTAAGGCCAAAAAATAAAGTCACTGTGGAAATACCGAAACGTTGCCTAGCACCCATATGTGGACCGCCAAGATTTCACTTTTCACCAATGCAAAAATTAATTTTCGGCGGTGGCAGCATGCTTATCATGATGATAATACCAGTGTGGGGTCTGCTCAGTGTACCGGCATGGGCAGCCAAGAGCCAGGGCAAGCGACGTGTGGCAAATGATGGCGAGGAATAAGAAGGCTTGTTGGGGATTTTGAAATGTAATAATTTAATAAAAAATTCAAAAATAAATGGAAGATTTTTTTTCAAAGAATGAGGAGAAGGTGCTATCTAAGAATCCTACTAAGTGTCCTACCAGAGAGTAGATATGCTCACGTGAAATCTAATGTAGAGTAAAAGGAGTCGGACTTATAAACGATTTGGAAGGAGTAAATATTGGAGGCTAGGAATTAGCCGATGTAGACTCTGGGAAGGAGTCGGCCTAGACGACTGGTAAGGAATCGGGATAGACGACTGGTAAGGTGTCGGAATAGACAATGATTAGGAGGCGATAAAGACGACTGAAAGGGGTCGATGTAGACGATTGGGAAGGACTCAATATAGACGATTGGGAAGAAGTCGATATAGACGACTGGGAAGGAGTCAAGATAGACGACTGGTAAGGAGTCGGGATAGACGACTGGGAAGGAGTCGGGATAGACGACTGGTAAGGAGTCGGGAAAGACGACTGGTAAGGAGTGGATATGGATGACTGGTAAAGAGTCGATATAGACGACTGGGAAGGAGACGGTATAGACGACTGGTAACGAGTCAATATAGACGACTGGTACGGAGTCGGGATAGACACTGATTAGGAGGCGTTTAGACGACTGAAAGGGGTCGATGTAGACGATTGGGAAGAAGTCGATAAAGACGACTGGGAAGGAGTCAGGATAGACGACTGGTAAGGAGTCGGGATAGACGACTGGGAAGGAGTCGGGATGACTGGTAAGGAGTCGATATAGACGACTGGGAAGGAGTCGATATAGGCGACTGGGAAGGAGTCGGGATAGACGACTGGGAAGGAGTCGGGATAGACGACTGGGAAGGAGTAGGGATAGACGACTGGTACTCCACAGTAGATGACGCCAGGTAGCATCTACTGTAGAGTAGATGACGCCAGGTGGCATCTACAGTAGAGTAGATGACCCCAGGTGACATCTACAGTAGAGTAGATGACCCCAGGTGACATCTACAGTAGAGTAGATGACCACAGGTGACATCTACAGTAGAGTAGATGACCCCAGGTGACATCTACAGTAGAGTAGATGACGCCAGGTGACATCTACAGTAGAGTAGATGACACCAGGCGGCATCTACAATAGGGTAGATGACACCAGGCGGCATCTACAATAGGGTAGATGACACCAGGTGGCATCTACAATAGGGTAGATGACACCAGGTGGCATCTACAATAGAGTAGATGACACCAGGTGACATCTACAATAGAGTAGATGACACCAGGTGGCATCTACAATAGAGTAGATGACACCAGGTGGCATCTACAATAGGGTAGATGACACCAGGTGGCATCTACAATAGGGTAGATGACACCAGGTGGCATCTACAATAGGGTAGATGACACCAGGTGGCATCTACAATAGGGTAGATGACACCAGGCGGCATCTACAATAGAGTAGATGACACCAGATGACATTTACAATAGAGTAGATGACGCCAGGTGACATCTACAATGGAGTAGATGACGCCAGGTGACATGTGATAGTAGGTAGTAGAGTAGATGTTGCCATATGTCATCTACGGTGGAGTAGATGAAGACAGATGCCCTCTACGATAGAGTAGCCAGATACCATTTCCGAAATGGTTATCACCGATGCAAATAATTCTAATCTAATGCAGATAAGATGCCCTCAATTGTTTCCATCATTGGCGCTGAGGACACCTGTGCTCCCATTAACCTTTTGTTTTTACATCCGCCATAGCTTTCATCGCCCTTTTAGGCGCATTCATGAAGTGAAACGCATTTCCTCAAAGCCCTTGCCCTCTGCTAATGTAATTTTCCTCTAACACGCACGCCGAACAACGCCATGCAACACAAATTACATATTGCGGAAATCACAAAGACTTCAAGTCGTACCTTGGTCTTCGGATGAAGCAGAAGCAGAAGAAAGCAAACATCCAAGTCTCTTCGACGCACAAACAATTGTCGATCATGCAAATTGATATTCCGCTTGATTCGCACATTTTGCTTTGATCTTGGCATTCACATGTTGCAGCGGTGCAATCATTCCAACACGCAAAGATGATGACGATGATGATGCTCCGAGCTGAGCTGGTGCAATGGCAACCGGGTCCCCTGTGTTGTTTTTTTGGGAGTGTGTCGAAGATTT